CACCTTCCATCAAACTTGGCCATATTATGTGATTTCAGTATCTTAAATAATTTGAAAAAGATATCATATATGTATATATATATGTATATATATATATATAGAGAGAGAGAGAGAGAGAGCACTTGAATATTTATTGTGTGCCCACAGATAACTATACCAAATAATGCAAAATGATTCAAAAGGAATAAACACAATCTTTGCTCTCACAAGGCAGTTTCATTAATGAGACATTAATGGACATTAATGTCCATTTTACAAAGGACATTTTACAAAATAAAAGATAATAGCAAGGTTCCAAGGAGGAACTTAAACCACATGCACAGCTCAGATATCGTGGGTACTAGACAGTTCTATTTCTCAAATGATCCACTACATATGGGAAAGAATGGCAAGGCATATTTGGAACCAATTGGTGACTCTGGTCATTGAGGACTGATTATTTAATAAAAATAGGGACATGCATTTACTTAACTTCCTCAGAAGTGCCCCTGGACATACAGGAATGCCACCTGAGGCAGGCTGAGGCCTGTTGTCTGGCGGAGAGGTTACATTTTAAGAGCGCCAATGGACATTACTTGCCAATGCCCTCTGCCTCAGGCCTAAATGCTCCAGCTTGTTTGAGAGACTGTAAGGACTGACTGGGCATATGCAGTTAGTGTTTGTCAATTAAAAATTTATAAAAAGAAAAGATTTGTGAGTCCTATTAGGAAAGACTCCCTCAATCCTTAACAAAAACAGTGAGAGCAGCAGCAGGGGCGTGTTCGGGTCCGTAGGACAGCTGTGATGGAAATGCAGGCTGGTGGAAGCAACAATAGTGCACCCAGAGGTGACAGAGACCACAGCTCCAGGGACAACGCTGCAGCCGCCGCTGCAACAGAGACGCCACCCTGACCGTTGAGAAGACCCCAGCTCAGGAAGAGAAGGGCCAATTTATCCCCTGGCCACAGTAGACACAATTTATATGGCCACTTTTAAGGATCAGAAAAATGTTTTAATTTTACTCTCTCTTAAAATCAAAACCTAAAACACTGACTCTTTTATAATAGTTAATATGCAATCATGCAGTCTGGATTATTTTTATCTTCATACCAATGCCATCATAAAATACAATTTAAAAAAAATAGTTTTCATGGAGGAAGGAGCCCATGAAGGCACAAGTGCCTAAAGCCCATGAAAGTCATAATTTCATCCTGCACCATTCATTCAAGCCAAGGAAAGTGAGTGTGCATATGGTGAGCTTGGAATCGCAATGACCCTCATGGGTGGCTTGAGGGACACTTAGAGTCAAAAACCATGCAGATTGTTATCCAAGACTTTCTCCCTGGGTGCCCAAACCCACACACAGTTTGGGAGCGTGAAACAAAAAGGCCCAGTTAACATATACCACGTGCTGAAGGCTCAGTGGTTATATAGTAGAATGTAATTAGAGTCACTCCTCGTTAATCTCAGAAGACTTCCTAGAAAAGATGATGGCCTGAAGAAGTGTGCACCTGTCATCTGGAATAAAAAACAATGCTGGAAGTGGGAAAAAGATAGTAAGGGAGAAATATATGGAGGGTCAATTGGAAGTCCTCCTTTTAAATCCCTTGTGTCATTATTTTAAATCGATAAGCACTAAATTCTTTGCTGCAACTTGACTATCCTTATCAAGGAACCATAAATCTCATTTTCCAGGTGCAAACAGATCACCAAATCAATGGCGAATTCATTATGAGTTGTGAATTCTACATATGAATCTCTGGTTAAGAAAAAAGAATTCTGGCCGGGCACAGTGGCTCATGCCTGTAATCCTAGCATTCTGGGAGGCTAAGGCGGGAGGATTGCTCGAGCTCAGGAGTTCAAGACCAGCCTGAGCAAGAGTGAGACCCCGTCTCCACCAAAAATAGAAAGAAATTAGCCAAACAACTAAAAATAGAAAAAATTAGCTGAGCATGGTGGCGTGTGTCTGTAGTCCCAGCTACCTGGGAGGCTGAGGCAAGAGGATCGCTTGAGCCCAGGAGTTTGAGGTTGCTATGAGCTAGGCTGACACCACAGCACTCTAGCATGGGTGACAGAGTGAGACTCTGTCTCAAAAAATATAAGAAAACAGAATTCTGTCCGTGTTTTCCAGTTATTTACACCTGGATCTGTTCTTCCTTCAGGATGTTTAAAAACAAGAATTGACCAGCATGCCAAGATTCAGTTTTATTTTTACCACTTTAAAAACTTACAAAACATTCTGGTTGGGGGAAATGAGTTGAGAACCAGCATGCCCTGAACCCTAAGCTATGCTGGAGGAAATCTACTAGAGCACACCTTACTGGGAAAGGACAAAAAACGGTAGGCAAGGATCGCCAGCTTTCAGAGGCTACTGCAAAGCATTGCCTTGACCTGTTCCCATGTTGGAAGTTGGAAGAGAGCATGACACCATGACATTTGTCTGCCCAAATGAAAGAAGGTTCTCCCAGCTCTGTATATGAGAGGCATGAATAGTCATCAAAGATAAGCCTTTTTGTGGCCAGTTTCCTACAGGTGCTTAAATCCAGGTTACAGAATTTATGAGACGTATAATTTTTTAGTACATGCAAAACTGAATGCCATTTTATTTCAAACAATATTACTAAAATTATGTAGACTACAGGTATTTGTTTACATTTCTGTATACATAAAGAAATATATTCCATATATCCATGCTTGTAAGCTTGATGGTAGTAGGTCTATCCTTAAAACATCCTAAAATATTGTTTAATCTCCAATATTGTGGAAAGAAAATATAAGTTTGAAAAAAATCATGAAAATATAAAAGTCATTCTTTTTATTTTATTTCTATTTTTTTCTCAGTTTTGGGCAACAATATATATTAATTTTTGTAATCAGAAAGAAAGGAAGGCTATTTTTTAAATTCATATGTTAGACAATTTGGGGTTAGCAGAGATGTCTAGTATTTGTAGTCTTTTAATTTTCCCCTAATCTAATATATCTCCATTTCTTCTATTCAGTATCTCTGACAAGGAGACTCTGGATTATTATTGATAAAGAGCAATAAAAATAATTTTTAAATTATAAATTCCATGGTAACAGTAATAGAACCTGCAACTATAAAATTGCTTCTCAGTGCACTAACTATGGATTTACATGCTTTAAAGTATTTTATGCACCCAAAATAGATCTCAGGAAAATCTTAGGAAAGATGCCATTTAATGGCATGTAGTCAGCATTTAATAAGAATTAGAAAGATGCTAAAGCTTATAAACCCATTAAGTTCTACAGATTAAAAAAGAAGTTTGCATACATGAAATGCTTAAGTTAGTTTTCCATGAAGATAAAAGAAGCAAAAGCATTTTGTGAGAAACATACTCATGAGTGAAGTTATTGACCACCTCAGAAAATGTTTGCTTAGAGCCAGTCTGTGTGATTACAGTGAGATGTGGCTGCTGCCCACAATTTGATGATATCATGAACAACCTACATTTATGGCCGTCAGTGAGGATGGCAAGGGAGAGCCCTCCAGCCTGGCTAAGCCCAGTGAAAAGTGAAAAACAAGGGTTGGTAGAGAAAGAAGCTTGCAGGCTTGAGAGGCCAGTCTGGGTCCCGTCCTGGCTCAGCCTCAGAATGGCTTTGAGGCCTGAGCTAAATCACACTATGTCTGAGCTTCAAATTCCTCAACTATCTGTGGAAGATAATATCTACCCCACTGAGTTATCATGAGATGTAATTTTTTTACGTAACTACGTAAAATGACGTCAGACATCTAGCAGAGTGCCCAGCACATGGCAGCTTCTCAAAATAGTTTAGTAATTCCTTTCCCAGGGAGACAGGCCTGGAGCCAACGCCTCCTCATCTGAAGACATCTGGTGGCTCCACAGCCTAGTATCCAGCCTGTAAGGATCCTGTGACATCTAATATTTTGTACTCTACCTCTTACATTCCACATTTTTAAAAAAGAAAAGAAAAGAAGTAGGCTTCTTACGTGTGTGTATATATAAAGAAATATATTCCGCATATTTATATGGGTTTTCTGAATAAATGTGAATGTCCCTTGTCAGACTCCATATTTCATTCATTTGTGCCTGCTCTTGTAATAGAACCTAGCAAAAAGATTACTCTTAAGAATTATTATTTGTTAGAAAAACTGTCATTTTATGTATTCCCTTTGTGGGGAAATAAATGCTAAAAGAAACAGAAATATCAAAGAATTTTCCAGCACTAAAAAAATAAGAGTTCCCCCTTTTGCTAATATTGTTTTCCAAACAATCAAAAATATCTCAAGAAAGTCAATAAGGAAATGGGAAAAAGGATTTTGAAATATTATTTGAAAATAAATAGACTGAAATAATTGCTGGAAGATGTCATGATATGATAATCAACTTCTAAAATTTCACTAATCCTTTGTGTTGTTGCTAAGAATGACGTAAAAGTGTGCAGACTTAACATAAAATGTATAAACCACTTATATGCTTGAATGTACATTGAATATATATTTTATTTTTGCTGTCTTCATGTTGTTTCAAATAATAGATCAATATTGACCCCTTAGTGTGGTTATGGATAGAAAATTAAATTTGAAGCCTGAACAATTACACATATGTATTTCTTACAATGTTTTAAGCTACTGCCTTCCAAAAAGAAAGAAACCAGCACAGTTGTACTGTTATCAGCCCTGCAGAGCTACTGATAAGTAAAATTGTACAGTTTCTTGAATTGCCAAATCAATTATCTGTCAGGTTCTGAATTCTAGAACCATTTTCCCACTACATAGATGGGCAAGTCAGAAATAACACAGCTTGATTGTAAGATACCAGCTGAAGGTGGCAGTACGATCTGGGGGAAATCTCTCTTTGATATATGAGGTATTCACTTGACTTGGCAGTGGTTTTAGACACTGTATCTGGCACCATGGAGATGTCATTTTGGCAGTCCTTCCCATTCTGCTCTCAGACTGTACCACACTTGCGAGGCTCGAGGGGTATTATCTCAAAAGCCAAAAGGCTGTAAAGAAAAATTTGCTAGCAGGCACTAACCTGGGTATCATGACTTTTTTCAGGTAGTAGGTGTAACCTTGAAGAAAAAGTGGCACTGTCTTCAAAAAAGTGACCTGACCCTGGCTTTGGTGGGTTTTTTCTGCAAGAAATAAAAAGCACCGCATGTGTTTATTGTACATCCTTTCTAGCTGACCACTGCTTTGTTCTAGAGTTCAGCATGAAAGGACTAATTTTTGTTTCGTTTTTGTTTTTGTTTTAGTGAAATGGCATGTCCCTTGCTAATTCTAGCTATTATAGTTGCACATGTAAAACAATATCTCTATGTAGTTTACGGATTGGTAGCATTTCAAATAAATGATATACTGAAAAATTGACCTGAAATTTTTTGAGATGCTTATCAATTGACATTTTTTTTCTTAGCCCATGAAGAGTCTGAATTATTATTTTTAAATAAAATTATACCTTGTAACATTAGATTTGTTCTTTTAAATATAGTAGGAATTTAAATATAAGCATGCCACTTTGTTTATTGCTATATTATTAGAATTTCTTGAAGCATGGAAAGAATTTTTCACAAATGATTTTGCTCTTTTGAAAAAAGTAAGCTGCAAAAATACTTGTTATAAACCATATTTAGTCTATAAATGAGTGTAGTTTATAAAAGTATACTAAGCTTATAGTATGTAACTTTTCATCCAAGTACTTTTTATATTTTGATAAAATGTCAACAAATTTAATAGTGTCATAATAAGTCTTTTCCCATAATTCAGAATTGTATGCAACTCTATTTTAGGAAGTTCACATTGCTTCATTAAAGAAGAAACCTGGAATCATTAAGCACCTTGATTCGTTAGGCAATGAATCATTAAATTCTCCTTTATTCTTCTAGAAGTAAGTTACTCTAAGAATTGTGACCACATAAACTTTTCAGAACACATGTGAAAATTACTACTGATATATCTGCTGAATAAAACCTCTGGCATTTATATTCCATTTTGGAAATAACACATTACCATTCAATAATGCTAGTTATAAAGTCAAACAAAAAAAACAAACTTTCAGCATAGTAAATAGATTCACAAATTTTTGAATCTAATAATTACAAAAAACTTTTTCTTTGTTCTCATAAATAAAAGCTACCACTGGCTACACTTTAGAAAGTCAATGCCTGAGAAAATGGACAATGTTTTACTCCCTAGAGCAGCCTCTAAATACTTACAGCCCTTGGAAAGCCCAAGATGATGTAATTCTTTTGTTGTTGTTGCAGTGACACTATTATGATTTTTTAAGCTCTGGATTTAATATCAACCCTGGCTTTTAATTCTCTTTTTAAACAACAGATCCCCATATACCCGTGTTTGTCTCTTTGCCTATGATATTCCTGTCTGCTAAATTTGTATTTTAAATAGATTTACAACACAGATATTCATATGTGCTCTTAGTATAAAATTATTTTCTCCAGGTAGGCTTTGCCCAGAGACCTGAGAAAATGGAAGTTTTTTTGTTTTTAAAGTATTTAAAGATTATTTAATTTTTATGTAGTATAAGATGTTTTTGATTGAGTTGGAAAGGTGATATTGTATTTTTTCTTATTCCAAATTTACTCTCAAAAATTTAATAATCTGGTAAACTCAAATAACAAAAAGCCAGCACAATCCCTTACAGTCCATAATTCTGCTTCTTTGAAGCAAATAATGTAGGATATGTGTGGGTATATATATATATATATATATATACACACACACACACACACACACACACACATAGAGAAAGAGAGAGAGAGAGATATGTGCCTCAATGGTAATTATCCTTTACTTACATCTGGATTTATGGGGTTCTCAAATTAAAAGATATGTCTAAAATTCTATTAAAATTATCTGGCCTCAAAACATTGAGTGTTGCAATATTTTTTCCCACCAAGGTCATACTATCTCCACAAAACAAGCTGGGTAAATTCCTGTTATGTCTGTTCACGGAAGAATTTTTAGAGATTTGATAACATTTTCACTCTTTTTATCCCAATCCACTCAAAAATCACAAAGATTCCAGAGATCAGCCAAAAAAAGCCCTCTGTGGGAGTCAGATCCTGATCCTAACCCTTGTCCCAAACCCCTCATCGTCATTCAAAATATTTAGGGATTATATAGTAATAATTTTTAAATGAGCATAACAGGCAACTCACAGTGTTTGTAAATTGATATTATTTTCAAATGTTCATGTCATGTTAATTGCTTTAAAATATACATATAAAATACTATGTTAAAATTAAATATAACACGTCAGCTGTAAAGGTGAAAAAGTAGCTAACTAAAAGTTCACAAATAATCTTTTTTCAGATTTTGTGTGTTTTCTCCTCAGCCAAAAGCCTCAAGATTCAGTTGCAGCAGCCTACCTCTTCAATTATGTTGGATTGCTCTTTAAACATTAGAGTATCTTGTAATAAATAATAAGTTAAAGATTTCTCCTGACACAAGTCATTGTTGATTTCACTGTTATAGGGAAAAGGCTCTAGGGCGGCAGATAAGGCTGTTGCCATGGTGATGAAGGAGATACCGAGGGAGGAGTCTGCTGAAGAAAAGCCCCTCCTTACTATGACATCACAGGTGGGCAGACCCATAGGGTTCATGTAGGAAGCTGACATATGTTAATATCTCAGACATTGTGATTTTTAACTAGAAAAAAAAAACATTAACTCTTGAACCAATTTTTTTAAAAAGACAGTTTCAATGAAACAATTGTACAAATATAAATGAAAATGAAAATTGCTAAAAAAAGAAAATTTGTCCTCTAGTTATTTATTTGTGGATATTAATTTTCATTACTTAACTTTAGTTTAAAAAAAGAAAGAAAGAAAATGTATGTGCAAGTAAAACATGCTACTTCTTTATAAAGGAGTCTTGTTAACAACTTTGGGAAAAAATAGCAATTAAGATAATGGTACATTTGAACAACAATGAAAAAAATCAAATTCCTATGAATAAATGTAAGTTATATTTTATACATATGTCAGTTTACCAGTAGAATATCTAAATTTTCTTAAATGTTAAATATATTTATGTTGTGACTATGCATACTACATATATGTCTATACATATTCATGTGGATAACTAATTTACAGGAATGAGACAGGAGTCCCTGAGTCCCCATGCAGAAAATGGCATTTGTAACCCCCCTTATACTTAGTGACCTTGAGAACAAAAATATCATCTCTATTATAAGCACAGGAGGGCCATTTTCAGCATTTATTATAACAAGTATAGAAAAAAGTTTGCATTTGTATGCAAAGACATGCTGAGACTGTGAATCCTGTACGTCCTCAGGGACTTTTGAAACACCCTGTAAAATCTACATAAATATGTATAATATACTCATCACCACTCTGTGGAACTACCAGTTTTAAATTTTTAAATGGAAAATATTTTTACTTGCATTTATCTTATAATTTAGATTAGATTGTTATTTTAAACATTTCATTTTTTCCATAATGCAATAGTAAATGCAGTGATTCAGTTCCGATTATATGAACATGCCTAGAATTCGAAAAATGTCCATTTACAATCCTCATGAAAGACATTTATATCAAAAGCTAAATTGTGGCAACTTATTTTTAGAATATCAGCAGATCTCATCACCAGCTGCTGCCAGCATGTGTGGTTTTATTTTATCCTAAATGCTATGTTGTAAGTAATAAAAATTATAACATATTAACATCAATATTGAATAATTTTTTAAAGTTACTATGAATTCCCAGGACTTAGGGATAAATTTTATGTTGTCAGCTTTTTTAATCCATAAAAAAGAGATATTTCTTCCCAATGACATATAGTAGTAGTTGGAAAGAAATGAGCTTGATATCTACCAAATTCCTCATTCTTTACTTAATTTACCTAGTAAAACATATACAGTTTCACACTGATTTCCTGCCAATGAGAGTCAGACCTTTATAGACTCCCATTTCCAAAATATTAAGTCCACAGTCCCTCAGGTGAATGCTATAGGAGGTGAGAACTACTTGGGGTTCTCTGCTAATGATATAGCCATCTACAAACGTAGATCAGACCTATCCAAATTTGCAACTGACACAGTTGTGCCATAATATATCATCTCAAGACTTCAAAATATAGGATAGGCTCCAGTCCCCAAAATTCGTTTTCCCCAAAATCATGCATTACTATGTACTTTCCAGTAATCTTTTTCAAGTATCCAAAATTACCATTTTAACCTAAGCTTCAATTTAAAATTTAATGCAAAATAATATTTTGATTTTTCAATTTAGAAAATTTGTGATTATTACCATTTTCTCATATTCAGAACATTTGTTTGTACCAAGTTCCTTCTTTAATCCCTAATGTTGCATTAACTGTTTTTGAGGTACTAGTTACAATTTTACTGCATGAAGATTATATAATGCTTTCTTTGATACATCATATTCTTATTGCATACTGGCCAGTTTATGAATCAGCAAACAGAGTTCTGATTCATAAAATTTAATGCACCTGTTATGTTGATAATATTACATAATTAATTCAGTGACAGCTGTGATACAATTATTTCTCAGTCAAATGCAGTTTTATTAGTTAATATACTTTTTCCACTATACACAAGTGGCTTCTTCCCTGCCATGCACCAGTGGCGTACACAAGCCAAAAAGATGCAGAATGATCTGAAAAAGTGAGTACTTCTCATGGCAACCATAGCATCCAATCAGTGTGCCATACCACATTCTTACTTGTTATCCTGTGTGAATGTACTAGTGTCTTGACACATGTTTGTCCTAGTGTCTCTTGTAAAGCCCCTTATGACAGTGTTCCACACTGCTGAATGCATCAGCTCATCTTCATCACTGGTATGTTGATGCCAGCTGCTCATGTCATAGATCCCAGATATGTCTGAAGCTAACTGCTGCTCTCTCAATAATGTCTTTGGGACAATCACAATAGACAAAATACAGAATCATTCACCGAAACACTGAGCCCTTACCTTGTTTAGTAACTGTTCACTCAACAGATTGTAAGTGTAGAATTGTTCTATATTCCAGCATTTTTTATTATGTGATCATTGTGGTGTATTCCTCAATGTTTACAGGGATTAAGTCAAACAATACTCCAGTAAAGCCATCTATAGTATATTGAAAAAACTGAACAAAGCAGAAGAGTTGGCCAGATGACCTGAACTGCTATAAAATTACTGAACCGCTGAGAGTTGCTCTTTTTGTTTAACATAATTATTGCTTCTGTATTAGCAAACAATAAATGGTCAGGTTCATGCTGTCCTAGGCTAACACTTAAATCAAACCATATGTAAATAAGTGTGTGTTGATGAAAGGTTTGGAGAAAAAATATGTGAATCATCAAGTCTTTGAGGAAAAAAAGTTTCTCTAGACCTGTGCTGCCCAGTTCAGGAGCCACTAGCCACAGTTGTCTACTGAGCACTTTGTGGTTACTCCAAATTGAACTGTGCTGCAAGTATAAAATACACACCAGAGTTTGCAGACTTAATCCAAAAGGATAGTGTAAACTATCACACTAATAATTTTTATGTTGATCATATGTTGAAATTACAATATTTTAGCTATATTGGGTTAAACCAAATATATTAAAAATTAATTTTATTTGTTTCATTTCAGTTTTTTAAAAGTGGCTACTAAAAATTTTTAAATTATAAGGTTCTCATTATATTTCTATTAAACAGCACTGCTCTAAACTATAATAATATAAACAAATTCAATTTGAGAATAGATGGGAAAGTTGTGTACCAGAAATTTGCTTATATCGTAGGAAAAAACATATTATCCTTATGAGAATGAAACGACTTTAGTGAATATTTTTCTCTCATAAGGAACCTTCAGAAATTTTCATTTTGACCGTATCTCCTGGGTACTTTCTTTCAGCAAGGTGTATATCTCATTCATTTTTGCCTATAGAGCAGTGTTCTAAAACTGTGTTCCAGGTCTCTTTTTGTTTAGGGACTTTTTAAATTCAAACCCAGCCCTGTTTTTCTGTCACCATCCCTATACTTTGATATTGATTTAATTTTTATGACTGATAAAGATAAAAAGAGTAATGTCCTCAATTGGAAGACTTCTCAAGAATACTAAATACGCCTTGTTTGGGTTTCTATTACTAACTTAACAACAGTTGCCTTAATTAACTTCTCAGGCCTGACTTAGTGTTAGTTCCACTCAACCTGTAAATGATAGTGTCTGTTTCCCTAATTCCCTATGAATAGATTCACATTTTATAAATCTAACTATCCTGTCAGTTAAATATATGTAGTCGGTTAGTTGACATTTAAATCAAGTGAAAGAGTTGTAAGTTATCACATGGTTATTCTTTACCAGAAGATCCAGGGCAGGTATACCTATGGTCTAGGGGTGGGGCAGGGGCCACATGTGGCCTTCTGGATCCCTGCGTGCGACCTTTTGACTGATTCCAAACTTCACAGAACAAATCCTTTTAATAAAGGATCCCAAACTTCACAGAACAAATCCGTTTATTAAAAGGATTTGTTCTGTGAAGTTTGGATTTGGTCTAGGGGCCACATGTGGCATTAGGCTGCAGGTTCCCCACCCCTAGATATTTAAAGTATGTATGGTAGTGATTTGGTTGCCTTGTCTTTTCAACAAATTGAGTCACTTAATTTAGTTTTAATAATAACAAATCTCTCACAATATGGTCACTGTTTTGATGGGCATTGCACAAATTTCTACACGTGGATGGAACTAATAAGGCCATAAACAAGTAGTTCAATTACAAAATTGTGAATGAAAGCCTACTTCACAAATGGCACACACTTTAAATCAGCAATATCACAGATAATAAAGGAATTTTCAAAGTGCACGAAGATATACCTGTTCAAAGCATATTTGGGTTTTGTTCATATAGAAACAAAATGATCTTAAAATTTTTCTATTATTTAAATGAAGTAAAAAGATAATAGCATATTATTACAAGTTTTTTAAATCAACATGACAAATATGAGATGTTTATCAATGGTTTCTTAACTTATTAGCTTCAATGTTTTCACTTTTAAAATTATTCTTAAAAGTACCCAAATCCTTAAGTATAAAAACAGAATATTTTACCCTAAACTAAAACAACATTTCAAGATTATCTATCTGAAATGTAAAATTATGGAGTAATGTATTATCATCCCTTCCAGACATTGTTTTATCATCTAAAATATATTTTGTTTCAGGCTAATTCTTAGTGATATGTTATCACAAACCTTTAGCTCTGCATTTTTGAGTGAAACATCTAAGCAAAGTATTTCTTTAAAGATAAACTTAGATTTAAGTCACAAAACAAGTAATATAAACATACACGAGTATAAGTATCAAACAGTATTTAAAAGCAAAATACCTGTCTTTTGTTAATTAGATCCTGGTAGCTTAGATCATTTAATAATTTAAGTTTTAAACATTGAAATTAGAGAAATCTAAGTTGAACTAGGGCAAATGTATTTTCAGATAAAGTTTTATTGCAGACAATAGTCTGTTAGAGCTGGACGATATAGTCTGCATTTGTTCAACACAAAGAAAGCACTATATTGATAAATGAAGTAATTTGGCTGTGTTATAGCTAATAGTAGCCACATCTGTTGA